CTTGGAAAAAGAAAAGATTTTTGGCTGGTAGAACATTTAAAGTCAGCAACTTTAGGAATCCACCAGCCACTGTTGCCAGTAGGTAAATTTAAGGGCAAGAACAAAAAGCGATGCAGGCCTCCAGTGCCCTCAAAAGACTCAATAACATCATAGGTGTCTGAAGCACTTGTCCAGAGCTGAGGACAAGCAACATGCTACTAAAGAACACACACAGAAAAGGGGAGACGGTGGCTGAGACGAGCCAGTAAAACTGACTGGAAAACTTATGAGAACAAACAGGCAGATGGTTTATCTGTCCAAAATATATAAATTGTCTTTAGAAATGTTCCTCAGGGGAGACCCTTCGTCTGCTCGCCACCGTCTTTCCACACTCCCTGTTTGTCGTCTTTCCCGTCTCTCAGGGAAAGGAACCACGCGGCTGAGGTCGCTTATGAGAATTACATGACCATGAAGCACATTTTATGGTTTTTATGTCCTCAATGTGCCGTGTGGAGCATCAGATGGAGGGAGGAATACTGGCAGCATAGAGGTCGGTGTGTAACTCAGCTGAAGCATCTTGATTTGTTTCTGGATCAGCAGGTGGACTCCTGTTAACTCTGGTTCACAACCTGAGCGGCTCTGGTTATGTCCCTAATGTGCACTGTTCAGACTGTAATGAAGACCTGTATATTTTATTGCAGTAGTAAATACAGTATAGTGTTTATTAGCAAATAAAATTAAGTTGTGACCCTGTTTGTGGTCTTTTGGAACAGGATGGAATGGAACAGCCTGAACTGTCCTAATCATCATAATGCAGTGATATGTGCAGAAAGGCCACTGACAAAAGCCCTGAATGGCACCTACTTTAAGGCCCAGTCCGGTTGAGTAACACTAATCCAGTTGCAAACCCACATCCCGTTCCACATTTACTTCAGGGGGACATGGAGCTGTGCGTCCACGCACGTCACCTGCCCTGAACGCGACCCAAAGATTACAAACATGTTCTGCACGTCTTAGACAAAACAGTCTTCAGCCAAAGCGTGAATGAACCTCCCTTCCACCAGGGAATGCTGTGAGCCGGGATCCAAGCCGCCAGCTCCTGTGCCCAGAGAAAAGTGTTTTTGTCTGGGCTCAGAAATCTGGCGGGGCCATCAGCACCTCCCGGCTGGCGGCGACTCCGGCCCTGACAGGACGGTAACTCGAACCTTTCACAGCACAAGTGTGAAACACTTTTCAGCTCCTTTATGACCACCGTCTATCCTGCAGTGCTGTGAGGGCTGAAGCCCACACACATTCAGGACTGTTGTACTATATCTGTGAAGACCACACTGTGTAATCCCTGGCTTTAATAGTACAGAAATCTAATCCTAATCTTGGCCCCAAATTCAAGACATAACCTTAACAAAGCTGCTGTCATAACCAGCAAAATGTCTTCGGTCATAAAAATTTCCAGAATCAACTGACCCTTAGAAGGACCTGTGGTTCTGACAAGAACAGAAACAATCTCACACAGATCTGAGGGTCTGGACCCAGGCCTGTCCGCCGCAGGTCGCAGTGGGCAGCCCGTTGCAGTGAAATGGACAGTGTCAGCACATTAAATACTGCCTGACAAGAGTGTGAGTGCGTTGTCTGCATACACCCCACAGTGGTGTGGAATTGAACTGGTTATCAAAACATACTGAAGAAAGACATCTGAACAAATAAAAACATGACCCCTACAACAGAAAACAGCACTTTCTCCAATAGTCCACATGCAGCAGCCTGTTCCAGGAAGGTAACAAGAAAATATGCTGCCTCAGTTTTGGTCAGTCAGTGAAGCAGTGACGTGCACAGCGTGACGTGACTGTGGCAGGCATGTTTGTGCTGTTAGCTGTGTGGAGGGGCGCTGTCTATGGTGAGGCAGCAGCCCGTGTGCCACAGCTGCAGTTAACGCTGCCCCTCAGAGAACAGCCAACACATCTTCACTGCTCATACTGATCACCAGTCACATTCAATATGTCTGCTCAGCTGAACTATGAGGGTCAGTGGAACAAAACGGGTTAGATATGATCCAAGAAACCTGTCACTCTGTAATGTTACGTCTGACATATAGAGTTCAGCTTTTCTCTGACAGCTGTTTGATAGGAGCACAGCTCTAGGTATGTTCACCAACGTTCCCACAGGTTTGTCTCAGTTTAGAAGGAGTTCAAGTTTCTTCACCACAACTTCACCAATCAAGAAAATTTATTTGCTACAATCTTACCAGATTACTCCCCGGGTTAGGTGAAATTATGGGCTGAATTGAGCAGATTAGACAAATCAGATGACTTGCACAATGTACATTAAGCCAAACATTTAGAGCTCATGACATATATAAACAAGATATGGGAGTCAAATAGTGGAGCTTCCTGTAAATGTCGGCATGATAAAAGTGGGCCTCTGCTCCCACCTCTTGGTCTACAGTACATCTACAGCACAGGATTATACCACAGCATTTTAGAAGTGTTGACTTGAACTCTGCCTACTGTTCTCTTCTCTGTAAAAATTAAAAATTATGCAGGTGTAACATGTGCTGTTTGTTCATATAAGCAAGTGTATTCCTTGTGTTGCATGATTTCTCTCTGCTGTATAAATTCCAACTATAAGTCTGAGTTAAAGGACCATAGTTGTGATTCTGCATATTATAGATTTCTTCAGTGTGAAAGGTGTTAAATATATAAAAAAGTAGAAGACAAAAGGAAATCCACGCTTACAAAAACAGCACTTGCAATAAAAAACAATATTTAAAAACAACAACAAAACGTAATTCCACTGTCACTTCTGAGATGTGGGCTCCAAACACCCCAAATCTCCCGTTGTAGTGCGACCTCCCTTTGTATGTAAAGGTAGGCTGGTCCTGTTCCACTCTGTGGATGTTGGTGGGGGGTGCTGGGTGCTGAGCTGTGGCCCCGTGTGGTGCACAGATGAACGGTCAACCTGCCACAGTCAAACAGCTGTAGTTCAGCATAACGACAACGCTGCCTAATTCTGCAGTATCCAATCTGTAGCCAGAGCCTTTGAAAATGACAACGTTCCATCGTCGTGCTTCTGTTATCAGTTTGCTTTTAGCCTAAGCCTTTGCTACTTGGACAAATGTGTCAGCATCACATTTCACAGTCAACTGAGGCTTGAGAATCACGATCACCTTTGTGAGTCTTAGAGGGCTCTTGTGGGGGTCGTACATAGGTTGCAAGTATGACATTGTGTTTTGATTAGTGAAAGGTATCAACATTAATGGGAGAGGAGATTATGAAATCAAATGAAACGGGCATCTCATGTTGTACAAAACCATGTAACTGCTTCTAAAGGTTTATGGGAAATGTTATATTACTTTTGATATTACTTTTATATTTAAATACACTTTCCGAGACTTTAAACAGTGAATTTCACTAGTAAAATCAATCAGTACCTGCAGGAGGCTCTTCACAGTTATCTGTATGTCCTGTTGTTTTACACACAACTTCAGCGCCTTCCCTGCTTCAGATGGGTCTTCTGACTGGCTCGCTGTGTTCTCATTGGTCAGAGTCATCTTTTGGAGATTCTCATTCAGTCTAAGAACACATTACAGCACATACACTCGTCTAAGTACCATGCTGGTTACATACAGTGATAATCTGGAAAATCAAGGAGTAGTGGTGTCTTTATGGCAGTGAGCTGAGCGTCATTTCAGTCAGTAAAAACATTTGGTTCCTTCATGTCGAGTTTACACCATATGAGTATTATTTATGTTTCTACATCTCTCATTTTTTGCTTTTTGCTGCTGATTCTGTGCAGGGAGGTTGGTGTACCGCTGTTCGACAGCAGGCACTCACTGTAACAGTAGGAGTCACTGGGATGTAGACAGTGCTACTTAGGATCCTCCATCTAGCTGCTCTGGTGGAAACCGCAGCAAACTGGTTGCACTCAGAAACTATCATGTACAGATGTTATCTTTTTTTTTTTACTTGTAACATGTTAAGCTGCAGCACATCTGTCCTGCCACCTGTCCCAGCCTTCTGCTGCTGACCTTTGTTGTTCCGATGATGAACTGTAGGCCTGGATGGTGTCCATCAGCTGAACTCTGACTGTGTGTCCTGCTGGACTGGACAAAATATCAGACATACTGCAGCCAGGGAACAGACTCATGAGCATAGGAGGCAGCTACACAAACAAACACACAAATTGCAACAATTTACTAACAGTCTTTTGAGATATTAATAACCAATCCATTGTCTTCTAAGGTGAAAAATATCTATAACAGATTCATCAATATGCAGAATCACATCTTAATTGATGTAACGAGAAGCTGTTCTTATATACAGACACTGTTTCTCATTACATGGATTATATGAGTAAAACAGTTTTCACCTAAGGAATAACATCATATACATACAGCAGCATCTCAGTGCTGGTGTGTTGCATTCACTGACACAGAAAAGCTGAAACTGTGTTCATCTCATTGAATGAGAAGGTTATATGGGGCCAGTGGCTTTGAAGGGTGAGATGAAGCTCTGACCTCCTCATTGGTGGGGTCCAGGATCAGCAAGCAGATGAAGTCCTGTCGGGCTCCGTCCAGGTTTAGCACCTTTCGGAAGGCCTTGGCCCTGTTCTCGTAGTACTGACTGGCTGTGGGGTTGTACTGAATGGCCAGAGAAAACATGTCAGCTGCCTCCTGGAAACACCTGTATATGCAGACACACGTGCACCCTCTCAAATACCGTAGCATCTACAGATTTATACATTTATATTTCCTCAAATTCACTTGACTCCCTCAGCACTGAGGGAGATACAGTGAAAAGATTTTAACTCAAAAGCAGGAATCAAAGCTGACTTTTTTACAGTGTCCTGTTATGGTGGAAGCAGTTACAGAAAAACGTAGGCTAATCTTTTAAACTTTACAAAGCAAGTGCACCTAAAGGGTGACCAGCTTGACTCATTAGGGATAATGCACAAGTCTATATGTGACACATGTTTACACATTACAACACACACTTGTCTTCTTTATATTCAGTCAGGTAAAGTTACAGATGAGCTGAAGTTGAGTAGAGGTCTTCCAACACACTAGAAAGAACGTGAGCTGTGCTCATGTTGAACTGAGTTTGTTTGTTTTGTACATGAATGAGTTAAATGTAATGTGTAAATACTTCCTGATTGCTCTATTGATTAAAAACTGTATAATCACAACTACCTAATAAGAAGTAGTTTAACTAGTATATACTGTGTTTTTTTGGGACTTTGCGAGGCAAAACTTACATTCCTTTCTACTGCAGCTTACCACAGAACAGCCCAGCACACACATCATCTGTTTGAGACAGTGAAGTGAGCTCAGAACAACTGGGCCATGCCACTTCACCACTGCTAGTACTGCTTTTAATTGTTGGTACATCCTGTGTTGCTCTTGTCATACGGTTTGTTAACAGAGCCACAATAAAAACAAGCCTTCAAGCATTTTTCTGTTTTTATCCACAATAATTTTAACTACTTTTAATAATTCTGTTCATTCATTGGATGACCCTTCTGTCTCAGCTGTCTGTGTGTGTTACTGTGTCTTCACGTGGTTCTGACCCATCCTGGAAACAAAGAGAGCCCAGCGTGTGGTGGAGGACAGCGAGGCGGAGCCGGATGGCCGGGTCATTAGGCCGCATCATCTCCTCAGCCTGCTGGTAGTCAGCCAGAGCATAATACCAGTCACCCTGCTTAAAGAAACAGTCTGAAACACACACACATACACGTTCACAACCGCATGCACACACACATGTAAACATCACTTAGTTTACACAGCTCTTTCTGATGATTTTTTTGTTTTCTGAGAAAAAACATCATTAACAGTTTTAACTATTTGGTCCATAATTTTTAAAAAACACAAAAAATGCTCTAATCACAGCCCAAAAAGATGTTTTCAAGTGTCTTGTTCTGACCAAACAAAAGCCCCAAACCCAAAGATAAGATTTTAAAATGAAATTAAATAATGAAAATCAGCAAAACACCACATAATGGAACCCAGAAGCAATTAATGATTGATTAAAATATTGGCAGTTTTTGTCAGTCTAACTGATAAATCTGCTAATCATTTCTGTGCTAGTGTTGGTACAGTGTGTGTGGGAGTGGTGAAACAGGATAAACTGTGGTTGAAGAATTTATCATCGACTGCTAAAAACACATTCATCAGGTTTGTCAGGTTGAACCTGTGTGGCTGACAGGTTTCACTATACAGTACCAACAACCAGGAAACCTTTACAAATGTCCTGCTAGGTGTTCTGTCAGCACTATGTGCAGAAAGTCTCAGACAGGATGGTCAGTAAGTATTTTCTGGCCACAGCGGCAGACAGCAATCAGAGTCACAGACTTATCCAAACCGATAACTCAACTGTTGTTTGATTTATTTCTGGTGTTTAAACCTCAGATTCTGGCCTGAACAAAACATTCTTAAGTGACGGAAGTTTCATTATACACATAATGTTTGTGTGCACAGCATAGAAAGAGATGTACACACACACACACAGACTAGGTGTCCACTGCCTCACCTCCTCGGTTTAGGTATAGGCCAGCCTGGCCCTTCTCCTCCTCAATGGCCTTGTTGAGCAGCAGAGTGGCCTCAGCATAGAGGCCTCTACTGAAGCACTGAACAGCAAAATCATTGTAGGTGAGAACCAGCTGAAACTCTGCCTCCTCTTGCACAGATTCAGGTTCATCCCTTTTGGGTCTGGCCTCCACCTGACCTCTGACCGCCTTCTCCCTCTCCTCCCCCTCACTCAGCTCCATGGCTTGGACCAGATCCTCGATGGCGGCCGTGAAGTCTTTCAGACGTCGGTACAAAATCCCTCTGATGGACAGAGAAGCAGAGTGAATGAAACAGAACAGATGTTAATGTAAGTGTAGTCGATTAATAATACAGAATCTAAATTATTTCAGCA